CCAGTGCACCCCACTATTTGAATACATGTTCAGGAAGCCTGGAGATTCACTAGGAACCTCTTCTTTTTTCTGGGGATGTTACTGTTCTGCAGCTGGTTCATGGCGGTTCTGCATGAGGGCTAGAAATTTGACAGAGCCTGGCCCTGGGGAGTTCCTTTGACATTGGGACAATTTCCATGGAAACAGCACAGCTACACACCAGTTCTTGTGAGGGTAAATATTCAACAGGGGACACATAGGAGCTGTTCCTGGGAAATACAGGCATGGCCTACAGAGTCCTTTACTCTGGCTTTTCATGAAAGCAGCAGCAGCTTCTTGTGACCATCAGCAGGCCGGTGTAAGCTGGAGCTGCCTGAACCCCTGAATCCAGGAAGAAACCTCAGATCCCGCATCGGGCTCAGCTTGGTTACAGTGATGAATGGCCCACAGGGCACCAGAGCAGCTATGCTTCCTCTCTCTGGGAGAGTCATGCAACTGGCAGAGGTGCAGCAGGGAAGCTCTCTGCGGCAGTGCGGTGGCAGACACAGTCTGCCTCCATCCACCTCACTCCTTCCAATTGCTGCTTCCATCCTCCCTGCAGAGCGCCTTGGCCCAGTCTGCTGCCTCAGTGCCTGGCCAGAAAGTTCACTTTCCAAGCTTCCCTCAGTCTCTGCTGCTGCCTTTATAAATAAAACATCTCCCTGTTAATTGAGATTCCTTACCCCCAGCGGTACAGTCAGGGGAACTGCAGGGGGATGGTAGAAGTTCCTTGTAAATCTCTGGCTTCTCATCCTCTCAAACTTTTTATTGCACTTTCCCAGAATGGATCTCCTGTTGCTCCTGCTCTTTCAGGGACTGACATTTAACTGCAAAATGAAGGGAGCAGCTACCCCTCTCACATTCTCCTGCCAGAAATAGCTGTCTGACACCTCCCCTACTCCCTACTCTTTCAAATGGCTGCATTTTTTTTCTCTCCGGGATATATTGCAAACTTATGTTTGAGGCTTGTGATAGACCAAATCAGACATGGTCATGTTAAGAACTGGACAAGGGACTGCCAGTGACTGAGAAATCTCTCCTGGACAGTTCCTGTTTCTCTTTAGCCTCACTGGCCCCAAGCACTACTGGCTGCAAAAGGTGAATAAAGAGTTAATTCAGTTCATCTGCCTCCTTCCATTGCACAGGTGCTCAGAGAAAGGCCAAGAGGAGAATTAATCTCTGTATTAGCACCAAGGCAACAGCTTGTACTAATCCTGGGGTTGCTGAGAATCAGCATAGCCCTCGTGTTACTGGAGCAGGCGTGAAGCAGGCTATCTGGGTATGTCCCCACATACCCATGTCTGTGGAAATCTCCAAGCTAGCACAAGTGCTAGAAGCATTAGTGCATCCCTCTGCATGGATCACCTGCTCCCAACAGGGTCAATTAGCCCCAGCTGAGCTCTGTTCCAGGCTACTGTGCTTCAACTGCTCCCAGCACCTGAACTACCTTATCTAGAGCTAACTTGGGTATCTCCACCATGTAGGGACTGCTTAGGAGGCAGGTGTGGGAGAAGATTCAAGGGAAGGACAAGTTGCATAGTCAGGGAAAATGGACATGGACTGAACTTCAAGCAAGGGAATCCTCTGTTTATGAATAACAGCACCTAGAAACCAACACCAAGCCAGAGTGAGCACAAACATGGTAGGGTGTGGATGATCAGAGGAAGTTCTTGTCTTAAAGACCTTGTGCTGTAATGGAGAAGATGGAAGGAGGGTGGGAGCAGGAAAAGAGCAGGTAAAGTGACTTGGCCTACATCACAAAGCAAGTCTTATTGAAGCTGTGAACAGAAACCAGGTCTTCTGATGTACAATCTGGTCTCATCCATTACTTTGGATTGTCTGTACTTTCTGCCAGGCTTTTATTCCTTTGTTTTTGGTTCACTTTGTTGGGCTGTCCTTAAAGAACGTATTTAGATTGGGATTCTGCTGACTGCCCTTGCCAAAATGAATTGCATTTTTTAGAAATGAAAGAGGGTTCTCCAGAAATTGCTTTAAACCTCAGCAGACTTCAGTAGAGAATGGGATCCTTTCTGCAGATTATTTTGTTCCATCCTATGGAATTTGATAGCAGGGCTGTAATCTTCTATTCAATTTATAAGGTGTGAAAAACAACTCTCAACATGAATATTTTCATTTTTATTCTATCATATGAGATTTTATGCTGCTATTCATCAGTGTTTCAGTATTATAGAGTTATTCCATACTGTCACATATTGAGTCTTTGCATATCATAATAGCCCCCCATCACATATTGGGGCATGGAAGTTTAACAGTCTTCTTACTAGATAGTGAAGAGGGAAAATGACACTTCAAAAGCATAGCAGGAGTTAGCAGCTGCCTGAGACAGAAGGAGCCCCAGTATGAATTTTGGATAGTCTTAAGTAGCTAGAATGATGGGAGCTTGTTTCCTTGCTTAAGATGTTAACTCTCATTGAACAGGCCAGTTAGTTAATGACCTATATTCATTTGCTAATGCTTCTATGATCATGTATAAGTACTGGGAATTATTTCTGATTGTATTTGCCTCTGAGTAGGGCAGCCTTGGTTTTCCTTGAGTTTCATCCTGGGAAAGCACACGCTTTCTGGTAGAAATGAGCATGTGTATTCACAATTAGATGCCTCAGCTGCCTCGATGACCTGTTGTTATGGCAGAGGCTGCTTTTTATGGGTCTTGTAAGCTTTCAGAGTGCATGACAACCTTGTGGGATAGGGTAATTTAAATCTGCACCCAATGTGCTATGTTGAGGGAAGCTTCTGAATCATGGAGTTGGAGCGTCGGGTGTATAGTTTCCTTCCTGTAACTTGTGCAGGGCTCTGTGAACAAGGGGACGATAGGAAATAGTTGTCAGACCAGATCAGAGCCAGGTTACATCTTGTCCAGAATCCTGTCTCCAAAAGCAGCCAGCACCAGCTATTCTCTTCCTGCCTCTCCCTTTTACATCCCCTTTGGCATGACACTGCAACTGGCTTTCATAAGAGACCTCGAAGGAGCAGGCCTGCAAGGCACATGTATGTTAAAAAGGCAAAGCATCCTCTGCCTAATTGCAAACGCTGAAGTTCACTGTTACTGAGGCCTGAAATGTGAGCAGCTGTAAGAGCTCTCCCTAGGGACAGCTCCCATAATGTTAATTAATTTAATTTTACTATACATCATACATGAGCCCTTTGCTGTACAAGGTGAAGAGGCAGAGGGGCAACCAGCAAACTGACACATCTGTATCTCAAGGCCTTCTTGATAAGGGCTGGATTTTTGGGGAAGAAAGAATAATTGTTGTCTTTGCTAATTGTGCTTGGGAAACTTAAAGTAATGAATGACACTAGAAGCTGAACTGCTATGGGCTTCATCCAAAGGGGCCTGAAATCAATGGGAATCTTTCCAATGACTCCAGTAAACCTTGGATCAAGCCATGGGTAAAGGCAATACCAGTTTACTAAACACAAGTTCCTCTTAATGGTCTAACCTTGTCCTTATCTGACCCCTTCTCCTGAGCAGGAGGGAGAGTGAAATCTCCAGTTCAGTTCCCAGCTCTGCACTGACCTCCCGTGGGGTCTAATTCAATCATTTAGGGCAGGCTTCACAAACGGATTCTGAGGTTTTGATGTTGAGTCCTATACCACCTAACATTTTGGTCCCTGGCCTCCAGAGTGGAGTCCACAGACCTCGGTTTGGTGCTCAGGCTCCTGCTGCAATGCCAGAAGAGAGATTTAATGTCTGTTCAGCAGAAAAAGAGATCCCTCTGTCCCTCTCCCAGCTGCATATTTTAAAGCACTTGGAGCTCTTCCATTGAACACTTCCATGGCAAAGCAAAGCCTTGTCATCACTGGCCCATCTGCAGTACTACTTACTGTTTCCCTTTTGCTCTGGAGTTAATTTCCTTTATCTCCTGGTCTGCTTTGCAGGCGCTGAAAGGCTGCAAGAAGTTGAACCTCTCTGTGCATTCGGTTGGGCGAATCCCAGGGGGCTATGTCACCAATCACATCTATTCCTGGGTGGATCCCCAGGGCCGGAGCGTGTCCCCACCCACAGGCCTGCCACAGCACCAGAGCAGCTCTCTGCGGAAGGACAGCGAGAAGAGGAGCCACCTCCAGCTCCTGCAAGAGGGGGATGAGAAAAAGGTGAGTGAGAGGAGATATCCCTAGCCCTGGTGGCTCATCTCCTGGTCCCTGTCTCCATGCAAGTGCAAGCCCCTCCTGTCTGTTGGTGTTTTATCCCACCTTCCATTCATTCTTACTAGCCCTGTGCCTGGCTCTGCCTCACTAGTTTCTTCAGGCCAGGGGAAATTCATTAGTTCCCATCCAAGATCCCTGGACCTTGAAGAAGTAATTGGGGGAAAATGCAGAAGTGTCTAGGAATAAGCCAAACTTGAGGTTATGCTCCAGTAAATGTAACCATGAAGGCAAATCCTGAGAAGGAGGCAGGTTTTGGATACTGATCCTGTGTGTGTATTTGCCAAGAGCAGTACAGAATGCAGTGCATTTACAACATCCGTTCTTTCCCTCTTCTGCAACTTCCTATTTCTTTTCCTTCCTCTCACCAAATCAAGCATCCTTTCTCCTCTTTGCACCTGTACTCTCCTTCTCTGCCTGAATATCTTGGGTCAGTGGAGGGAGGTGGTCAGACACCAGAAAAAAAAATAAAGTGTATTGGCTAAGACTGGCAACAATGCTTTGTACCTCCAAACACCTCAGAGAAATACCTCAAAGCATTTTATAAATACTGCCCCACAGAGTTTTTATGAGGGGCAGTATCTGTTTTAGTTAGTGTGTAAGGCGCAAAACTACCCTGCCTTCTCTAGGTAAGGCATCCATCACGCAGATGGAAACACAAAGGTAGGCATGGCGTGTGTGAGAATGTAGAGCAAGATTTAAGAGTCCATTTGAAGTCCCATTGGGTTGGGTAAACCCTTAACAAAGCTGGAAACATAGACCAAAAATATTTATTCTCCAGCTGCTCTGGTCACTAGACTGTACTCTTTTGAAACGGGAGACATTGTAAGGGGAACCGGTGGTAGCTGTGCTTGGCTGAATTGCCTGGTCCAAAGCAGGTCATACGTTTCCCTTCTCTCCTCCTCCTGGTGCCCCGAAGACACAGAAGATGGAGTTGGAAAAATGTTGTTGTCTTCAGTTCACAAAACCCAAAGTGGTGAGGAACATGAGTAGAAGGGGTGAGACCAGGATGGCAGAAAAGAGGAGTAGATCTTTCTGGCACTACATGAGGGACCCATTTGCTCAATGGAAACAAGAAGAGGATATGTCCGCCTTGAAAATATGATCATTTGTGGAAGTAACTTGTGGAGTCCCATCAACTTCCTGAAGGGATGTAGTAGTTTAGTGCCTCTAACCCATTGTGCTGAGATGTCTGATTATTTTAACTGCTCCCAGATCCTTGATTGCTCACCTAAGTGACCGTACGTGTCTTTAGAAGCCTAGAGAGGGCTCAGTGAGCTGGTGCCTGTCCTGCTGGTCAGGTAGGGAAATATATTAAGGCCAAGATGTTTTGTTTTGTTGATGAAATATTCATTGTGGCCACAGGGGAGAAGAGGACGTTCTTTTCATTTCAGGAGAAGAAAAAAGCAGCTGCCACCAGGAGAAATTGATTTTGTTGTCTCCCTCCTCCCTGCTTTGTGTCACCTTGATGTCGATACATGGGACCTGGCATAGGCTCTTTGAAGCTGGGGGTAGGGAGCATTTCTCTTGCATCTTGTTCTTGTTTTCCCTCTGGTTTCTCTTTCTTTTTCTTCCATCAGTATTGATGTGAAATGGTTAATATTTCCAAGCCGTCTGCACCCACATTCAGATACAACTCTGCCTGATTTCATAGTTGGCTGGGTTGGAAGGGACCTGAGCAGATCATCAAGTCCGACCCCCTGCCACGGCAGGAAAGAGTACTGGGGTCAAACAGCCCCAGCAAGGTGATTGTCTAGCCTTGTCTTAAAGACCCCCAGGGTAGGAGCCAGCACCACTTCTCTTGGAAGTTAGTTCCAGATCCTAGCCACCCTGACCGTGAAATAGCGCCTGGTTGGCCTCAGGCAACCTCTTTTCAGGCTATAGAGCAGACGTGTGGCTGCAGGTTGTGTTCCTATCCCTGGGCCAGCTGCAAACTGGGTAGTTTGTCTACCGGGTACTGGAGCTACAGCAGCACAAACCCCTCCCTCCCCCCACAAACCTCCCACTCCACTTCCAAGCTCATTTGAATGCCACTGCAGCTACACAGTCACCAGTACCTGAGCAAGCAACTAGTAGTTAGCTAAAGGAAAGGGTTTGTCATTTGCCATCCTGGGGTGACATTTTTGAAAGGCCCAAGTCCTGCTATCTTTTTTTCCCATGGACGCGATTCCCATTGGCTTCAACAGGAGTTTTCTCCTTCTGAAGGTCCTGGCCTGGGTTGGACACTGTCTCCTACTTCATACCTATCTCTGTCTTCCCTCTAGCTCAGGGGTGGCTAGCCCATGCCTCTGGAGCCACATGTGGCTCTTCAGAAGTGAATATGCATCTCCTTGAATCTTTGCACAAGCACATGGTGACCACTTTCCATAGCCATTGCATCACATCAAGTGACGCAACTGCTCTCAGTGAGCACATTACTCGGTTTGGACTCCGGAGCTGTGAGTTGGCCACCCCTGCTCTAGCTTCCTAAAGTTGAGCTACTCCCTATCACTGGAGCAGCTCTCCTGAACTATGGGGAACAATACAGTTCCTGGTAGAAGGGGTTCTTCGTTCTTTTCTCATTTGAATCCCAAATTTTGAGCCTGCTGTGGAGAGTCCTGCAATAGCTTCTGTTTTTAAGGCTTCTGTCCACTAGAAGGGCATGAAATGGGTTTGCACAGTGGTAGTTGCAGCATCTCTTAATAACAAATAATATGGGCATCTATGATCCCTTTACAGCAATGCTGCTTGGAGACGGTGAGGTGTCCTACAGCAGCTGACCATGGGAATGTATCTATACGGCAGTGTTGCTATAGGGCTGTTATGTCTTTGTGTCATTATTTCACACGGAGTTGAATTCTCTTAGACCTACCAGCACTCTGGGATTGCTTGTTTACAAAGAAAGGATGCTGGGGTTCTCTCCTCTTATGTCCTTTGCTGTGGGAAACTGTGTCACGGTAGGTTAATCTACTACTATTTAAACACCAGAAGAAGCTGGGACTTCTTCCTTATCTAATAGCCAGTGAGGGCACTCATTCCTTGCCCTCAAGCAGCAGATGTGCATACTTGTAGTGGCACTGACCCAGGGTTCAGCTCCCACTGTTGGCCCTAGAAAGGTGTGTTGCTCTTACAGAAAATACTTCTCTCTCTTTTTTTTAATATTGTGCAAGAATGTGATGCTTGTAAGGGCAAAGTGCCTCCAGCAGCCCTGGCATCATGTGAATTGACACTCTACAAGCACAGTTTTGTCACTGCCTGTCAGTCCTGACATGAAACATTATCTGCTATTCTAGTCTTGTCCTCACCCCACCCTCCCCACACTTCTTGCAGCACTCCTCACTCATAACAGGTGGATAATAGTTTCTTCTGTTCCAGTCTGGAAATCCCCATGTGGCTGTGCTAATAGGCCCCACCTCCCCCTGCTATTCCCCCTAACACAGTGGTGCCCAACATTTTTTGCCCTGTGAGCAGGATGAGCCAAGACCTATCTGTCTGCGGGCTGACTTAGACTGGTGGGTCTGATGCAGTGCTTGGGGCCGTCACAGTGGGGACCTGATCTGGCTGTGTGGGGGCAGGGGTGTGGCCTGGCCCCAATCCAACCATGCGGGACTTGGAAATTTGGCAGCAGGGGAAGGGTAGCAGTATTAATTGTCACTGCTCCCCCACCACCAAATTTCCCAACCCATGGGGAGCCCCACAAGCTGGATTCCATGGCTTCACAGGCCAGATTTGGCCCATGAACCAGGGGTTGAGCACTCCTGCCCTAACATAAGGCTTCCTATGGGCCTTCAGCTCTGCTGTATAGCTCCCCTTATTCCAACCCTCAGTACTTGCACATAGCTATGCTAATGTGCTTCAGTCCTGGCTTTCAGCAGCTCCTGTTTGCCCAGTGAGATCACAGGAAGTGAGCATTACTAGTAAGTGTTCTGCTTCATCCTAGCCTACTTACTTTGTGGGTCAAAAGTGCTTCCAGTGATGCCTCTGGGCACAGATAGGCCTGTGGTCACCTCAAAGAAAGCTGCCACCTTGCCCTACTCTACGTCTCTGCTGATAAAGGGGCTGTGCCCCCAGTTGCTAAGGTACCTTTGTCCTTTTTTCTTCCATCATACCCCTAATTTTCAAGTCCTGCTTCAGAAGCCAACTATTTAAACGTAATGCTTGCTAGCATCAATATGCAGAGGATGGTGCCTATATTATGCTGTCCCCTGATTAAGGCTCTTGAAGCCTCATCAATATGTAGAGCAGAAAAAAGCTATTGGATGCTGCAACCTTTTTCTATCCAAGGCTGCCCAACTGGCTTGTTTACACAGAGGTGACTTGCTCTGCCAGCTAACGACCCAACACCATAGAGTAATGAGCAAAAGCCACAGACAGGAGTGAAGAGCAGCTTGACATGACAAGAGACTTTGGGAAGAGCTTTTTGGTATGAATGCAAAATGTCATTTGCATGAAAGCACGCTTAAGGGGGATGAATTCAGAGTCTTTGTTACCATGGCTTATCATGCATCATAGAGCACAAAAGCCATGCCCCAGACCATGAGCCTGAACCTGGAAGATTCGGAGCACTCATAACTCTCAGTGATTTCCATGAGAGCTGCTAGCTCATGACAGCATGCTCCAGGAAAAAGTCCCAGAGCACACCATATGTCTAACTTTAGTATGGCCATTAAAAGTACTGATGTCCTGCTTATAAATGTCACATAAATGCAATACATCCCTGATTAATTCTACACAGCTGGCCAGAGGTGACAGAAGCCTGGGGGGCTGTTTAATGTCTAGCCAGCTTTAAAATCCAAGGAAAGGGTCAGGAAACTTATATATTCTGAGGCATGTGGACCTATTAGAAAATAGAAGTACAGACATTCAGCAGGCATTTGAAAGAGAATAACAGTGCAGGGATCTGAAGTCAGCCCTAGAGCTGGGATCCAAAATAATGCAGAACAGAAAGTTGGTTGGAGGGAGGGGATAGC